TTCACATGCTAAAATTTGTGTAAAGAAATGAAACAACTATCAACGAAGTTTCTCTTCATTTTATACTTGATACAACTAACAAAGACATTAAATCTAAATACCTACATAACACAAACAAAATAAACATAACCACCTTCATATTTAGATCTCAATGTTAGAATAGAAAAAAAAATTGTATTCAGATCCTAACTTGCCAGGGATATTTTTTTATTTAGTTGTATAAAATCTTTTCCACTAAAATGGAAAATATATTTTTTGTATTTGTACACCAAAACATTCAAGTTGCTTGGTTTTGTAAATATTTCCAATTTCAAATTAATATATTTTTCATAATTATGAAAATCAGACCAAACTACATTATTGAATTGATTGGACAAGGAATCGGTTTGGAACCTCCTAAAATCAAATGCATAATGAATAAAGTAAAAATCGAATAAACTTAACAAGTTAAATGATTACCCTTCTCTTTCTCTTTATTTTTTCCTTATTTGCTTCATGAGAACACCCAAAAGAAAAGAAAAAATAAAATTATGTCTTCTTGTTGTGTTCTTCGTTCTTTTATACTATTGTCTTTCTTTTCTCAATTACTATCCACTACCTTCGATTGTCCCTTTCTGATGTCGTCTTTGCTGTCAACAACATAGTCCATTATTGTCACTACCATAATCTCTTTATTTTGAAAATTAATTTGATAAAATAATTTTGCAGGTGTCACAATGTGAATGTGAACACTATAAAAGAACTACATTTTTGGAGAGATTTTCATTACCGTTCCAATGCATATTTCATCAAACTAAATTTAGAGTTTTCTAAAATTGGATACTAGGGACCCTCTATCATCAAGTTGAATCAATGAGTGGGGGGTTAGTACATTAAGTATATATCCCTTGCATGCTACTATAAAATGTAATAGATATACCTCCCGCACGTTACTAGATATTATAATATCTCCTATAACAAATATATCTTAGCTTAAAGTTATCAATACACCTTTGTATATTATTTATATTATTATTTATATTATTATAATACTATTCAGGAGGTTTTGATAAGGCCCTACATCATACATCATAGGGATCATTCTCGTCATTATACAATATTTTTTCAACTATGTGCTTGTTATTTGTGAATGTAGGAATTACCAAGTGTAAATAATACTCTTATGAAAAATAATCAAAATAATGTTAATGTGTCATTTGAGAAACAATTGATTGGAGCTTCATATGTAATTCATAGAAAAACAAATTTTACATGGGATAATTTACATTTAAAAAGATGGAAAAATCAATATGCACACATGTTTATATTAACTCAATTCTTATAAAGGAGGGGACATAAATAAAATGGAGTATAATCTTGAAGGCATATAAGGAAATATAAGTTATTGCAAAAAGTTTTTATATGATATTGATTTTCAATTTCAACAACTATTAAATGAAACGAAGGAGAAAAAAGAGGGTTAAGATAGATAAAACATAGAAGAAGTTTAAATAATAAGAATGTGGATAAGATTGAAACTACTACAAACAAAGAAAAAAGGAAGTCATTATTGATGCTAGTAGTTACTTTTCACCAAGGACTACTCTTCGCTCCGAACTAAGTTTGAAAAGTATACTTGCGAGTAAGGAAACAATACACAAAGCAAAGATGATATTTGTTTGATGGATTTATCATGTTAGCATTCTATTTAATAAATAAATTCATCATATTTTGAACTTGTTTTAGATCTATTTATTAACATTAGTCTTGGTTTAAAGGTTCATCTTATCATGAACTTAAACTTAATTTATTGGGAGATTGCAAGAGAGAGTGTCAATTGCTTGTAGAAAGTCATAAACAAAATTAGATGCACAATTATGACACATGGATGAACAATTATGAATAATGGATGAATTAATTAAAGGTAGAGAACTTTGATAAACTTTCTAGTTTATTATCCAACTGGTTAAGTGTTAACTCTTTATTATTTATTTACTTATTCATATATTTTTAACCCACTTTTTGTTTATTGTTGTTAACAATATTTAAGGTATTTTATTTGTGTAGTTTTTCTATGCATCAAACATTGTGAATATGACATTATGAAACTTACCTATTGATTAGGTAAGAATTCAAAATATTATTCACAATATGTTTGGTAATGCAACAAATCATGTAGTTATAGGTAAATTATTACATGAAAAATATAGTACAATTTATCACTCCTAAAATATTAATTATTTTCTATGAATTTTCTTGTACAAATTTTTTAAATTTGTAAGAAACTTATTTCTTGCAATTTTTATTAAAAAATTATAAAAATATTTTCATGAGATATGAGAATTTGATCTTGAGTTGTTTGTTACTTAAATATCCTATTAAAGGATATTGTTAGATTGTCACATGTTGTTGATTTTATTAAGAAAGTCTTCAAGATATATAACTATATTTATTATATTGGTTAAAGAAAAGAGAATGATGAAAAAAATTGTCCATCTAAGGGTTATTAGGTTTGTAATTACGTTTATTACATTAAAGAGTATTTATGATCACAAGAATGACTTGCAAGTCTTAGTTGTAAACAAATATTTCACCATACACAATTTCACAAAAACTACAACAAGAAAATGGTAAGTAATATTGTTTTAGATCAAAAGTTTTGGATTTGATGTTTTAAGATTGTAAAGATTGTTGATCTCATAATCTCTTTATTAAGAATTGTAGATGTCTTTATTAAGAATTGTAGATGGAGATAAAAGATCTTCTTCTGACTATATGTATGAAGGTGTGCAAAGGGCAAAGAATATCATCAAAGAGATGTTCAAACATAAAAAAGATCCTTATCAATATTACACAAATATTATTAAGGCTTATTGGAAAAAATATTTGAAACTCAATCTACATGCAACAACTTATTAGTCCAACCTTGTGTTCATACAAACATCTTAGTCAATCCATTATTGAGATAAATATGTATCAAAGATCTTAGTCAAGCCATTATATTTTATATATTTTGTCTTTCATGATTAATTAATTGGTTATAAAACTAAGTAAATTATATATTTTTTAAATCAATGGTGGTCATTGTTTGGGAACAATGCACCTATTATGCATAATTTGACAATTTGTGTTCTTAGTCAAACTTTTTCTTTAAGAGAACTAGGTGTCTTTAAAAAAATTCACACCAAAAGAAGAAATAGACTAGAACATCAAAGACAGAAGAATAAAATTAATGTTATTTATAACTTACGTTGAAAGATAAGTATAACTATATTTATAAGTATAATAAATAATAATTTTTGTGTATTTTATTATAATGTTTGATTTTATTTTAGGTATCACAAGCAGATCAATCTTCTTATAATCTTATTGACTATGAATATATTGATCAAGTTGAATTTTGGGTCAATAAGGAAAAAGTGTTTTATAAACTTGATATATACAAACTTAAAAATGTTTTGTATCATTAAGATGAATTTCTCCTTAGATTTTTCGTCTAAAATCTTATTTTTGCAAGATTTAATATTATATTAGAAAAGAAGATCTAGTAAATAATGAGTGATTTTATAATATCCTAAAGATATTTAAACTTATAAAAAAATATATTATAATTTGGAGGAAATCAATTATAAAAAAAGAGAGTAAAAATTTCAAATGTAATTGGGTCGATGGTAAAGATGACTAATCGTAATGATTATTATAAGGTAAAACAAGAGAAAGTATAAGAAAAACTTGGTAAAAGGATGAAAATGAAATTAAATAAAATCTTCAAATTTAATTTATCATTAAAGCAAAAATGAAATAAGATATTAAAAGATCTTATATTTATATGACAAAATAAAAAAAAAATCTGAAATTAAATCTTCCCATTAATTTTTTTTAAATAATCATTCCTCAGTTATTTTTTAATATATATTAAGAAGTAAAATTCTCACATATTATTCATAACAAATATAAATATAGTCAATTTAGTTATAATTTAACATAAATTTTGAAGTAATTTTGTTGACCATTTAAAATTTATAAACATTTTTTAAAAATATTTCAAAATGTTATTTAAAAAAAATAAAGATAGTCGATTTAGTTATAATTTAACATGAAATTTGAAGTAATTTTGTTGACTATTTAAAATTTATAAACATTTTGTTTAAATATTGTAAAATATTATTTTACAAAAGTATTAACATTTTATATTAATTATCATATATATATATATATATTTACAGAAAGTAAAATCCATTAATATAGTTCATTAAAAATAAAATTAAAAATAGTCAATTTAGTTTTAATTTAATATAATTTTGAAGTAACTTTGTTTTTATTCTTTAAAATTTATAAACTTTTTTTTAATTGTAAAATATTAAACATTAAAATTTTGTAATAAAAATTTATCAAATAAAAAATATATTACGATTATTATTATATTAAATTTTCAAAATTTTGATGTAATTTTATAATTATAAATTACAACATAAGTTTACTAATTTTTATAAATATAAATTGAAATAAATTTTTGAGTTTTATTAGTTTTAAGTTTCGTAGATTGATTTTCAGCTATTATTCTTAATCCCTTCGACTTTTAGGACACCTACTTTTAAATATTTATTCAAAATCATTTATTCCAACTTGTTTCTCTTTTCTGCCTTCTCAACCATTTAATTGTTACGAAACAAATCCTAAAATACTGACTTTCATAAGAAAGAAAAGTTGTATGACATCGAACGGCCATAAATCAGAGTGATATATTTTATCTTTGACCACACCATATCCATTACAAACCCCTCAAAATTATACTCAAACGTGTGGGTATTTATTTATTTATTTCCCTTACAAAATCATCTTGTGGAGGGAAAGTATTAAGAATTGAGTTTGCTCTTAAAATATGTCGTAGGGTTTAGAGAAAGAAGATAGCGTCAGTGAACTCAAGGTAGCATAGGAGGGAAAGGGAAGAGAGTATTTGACTTGTGAATGTGAATGTGATGGCACAAGTTCTTCTACATCGCCCTCATCTGTTTCGCTTCATGGCTTCTCGCTTCTTCACCTCCTCTTCCTTCCATACGCGCTTTTCTTCTCTCCCTCCTACTCTCACAAAAACCAGGTGTGCATAATAACTTCACTATCTGCTTGCCCCTTTTAAAAAAGTTTCCAAATTTTGATAATAAAGCCTGAAGGGTTTATTTGTTCGTCCTTATTCTTTTCTGGGTTTTCTCAGGACGAGTTTTCATCTTAGAAAATTCTGGGTTCCCAGTTCGGTTCCAATTGCGGCTACTCCAAGGGCGTTTATGTCTTCTTTCTCTACCACCGAAGCTTTTCAGAAAAGTGAAAGTTCCACAGCTTATAGTTCTGATCAAATTCAGGTGTTCTGTTAATTTGTTTTGACGTGTCAATTTAATTGTGCTAAAAAATTATGGGTGCTAATGTGAATTATTTTGTGTCTGGAGTTTTATATGATGTCGCGTGTTTTCCTCGTTAGTTAGTATTATAGTATTTGGTTTAGTTAATTGCTTTGTTAAATATAGTTTGGAAGTGGCATGTGTTTGTTTGATACATGTAGGTTCTTGAAGGCTTGGATCCCGTGAGGAAAAGGCCCGGGATGTACATTGGAAGCACTGGCCCACGAGGGTTGCATCATTTGGTATTGTCTTATAGTTTCGTTTTCTTGAGGCTGCTTTGTTTATATTTTGTTTTGGTTCTGAGTTTTCTCTGATTGAGGAAGAGTTTATGTGGTGTCTTAGGTGTATGAAATTTTGGATAATGCTGTTGATGAAGCCCAAGCTGGGTTTGCTTCCAAGATTGATGTTGTTTTGCTTGCAGATGATTCTGTGAGCATTACCGACAATGGTCGCGGGGTATGCTTTGTTTGTTGTTTAAGTTTTCTCATGGTTGATTGTGCTTTATTTATATGTATCTTACTTTGATATTTAGTTTTGTATAACTGATCTAATTTATGTAATTTGAAGTTTGAACCTTGGCTTTTAAATTGTCTGGAAAAAAAACCTAAGTTGGGTGTAGTATGATACTTTTATTCGTTAATGTAACCATTAACTGTTATTTCCTTTTTAACTTTCTTAATTTTTGGAGTTCAATATTATATATGACCAACTACTGGACAGTTGACAATGCTAGCAATGGTTATTTTGTGGAAATAAATTAAATTTGTCTTCTATCAAGATTTTAAACTGTTAACTCTTGTGCTCTTTTGATCAGTGTTTAGTAACTATCTTTTACTTTATTTTGACTACATATAATTTATCTCATGGAATGCAGATTCCTACTGACTTGCATCCAGTTACAAAGAAGTCTGCCTTGGAGACAGTGTTGACGGTATTATGATGCATACTTGAATAAGTGTAGATAATTGCTTTGTTATATGCTTTAAACATCTCCAGAAGGTCTATGTTCTATGGCTCTTGAGAAGGTCTATGCAATTCAAATTCAAATGAGTTTGTTTTTCTATTTTCTCTTGTCAATGTAATTATGTTTAGAGTGTAGGGAAATGCATGACTGTTTGAAATATAGTTGAACTATTTTATCATGGAAAATTCAGTTTATAGTGTTAGAAAATGCATGGAAGTTTGAAATTTAGTTGATTTATTGAGTTCTAGACTTGATTTCCTGCTTAAATGACTGTTAGTTATTATTCTTTCTATTGTTTCCATTTATTTTCCATGTGTCCTTGTTTTAAATTTGTTATCGATTTGTTCAAGTGAGGTAATAATGTTTTTGTCCTTTTTTACACTTGGCATATGGAGCTGTTTCCTCCTCTTGATTATCTGTTGACTCCAGAAAAATGTGATGCGAACTTGGTGTTTATGCCATCTATTAACTTGTCATGATAAATCTGACAAGAAAGTCATTTAACAATCTGCACATATGACTGAGATTCTTCTGTGTTATTCTGCAAATTTGATTGACAGTTTTCAAGGATATTAATTAACTGATTAGAGTCATCCATATCTGGTTCTGTATTGTTGGTGGAACTTATCATTCTTGTAGTTCCATAAAGATAAGGAGCTGTTGGGTTTGAGAAAATGTTTTCTATTTTCATTTTGATTCTGGTTTCCTGATGTGTATAAAGGAAAAAGTGAAAACAGATAATGATAAAATGTTGTTTTCATTGTTTCTACCCAAACATCTAAAAACAGAAAACAAAATGGAAAGAGAAAATGTTTCAAACTAAACACCCTCTAAAATTTTCACTTTTGAAAAGGTTGGAACTTGGACTTTATGCTGTAACACAATTTTGCCCCACATTTGGAGTACATTTTATATTTACTCTAAATTTTGGATAACAGTTATTTACTCTTATGCACTTTGCAGGTCTTGCATGCTGGTGGAAAATTTGGTGGTGCCAACAGTGGGTACTCTGTTTCAGGAGGTTTGCACGGTGTTGGTTTGTCTGTTGTTAATGCCTTGTCTGAGGTTTGTTTTTATCAATTTTGTCCTTTTTCTTTTTAGTTGAAACTTTTTCAAGGTTTATACCAATGGATATAGCTGTTTTATTCTCGTATATTTAGCAAATAATGCAATCACTTTTACATTTTTCTTTTAGTCAAGGTTGCTAGTATGTTTAGTCAACAATGTTATCTAAAGATCTTATTTACTATTGAACTTCAGTCACTAGAGATAACAGTTTGGCGTGATGGAATGGAATACACACAAACATATTCTCGCGGAAAGCCAGTGACTATTCTGAAAGCCCTTGTACTTCCGGATGAAAGGAAAGATATTAGAGGAACACGTGTCAGATTTTGGCCTGACAAAGAAGGTTCATGTTATGATCATGCCATTTCTACTTTCTAGGTTATGATTTTTTTCCCTGCAAATTTTACACATGCTGTGCATTTATCAAAATATGCAGTGTTCACCACTGCTATTCAGTTTGATTACAACACAATAGCTGGACGCATTAGGGAGTTAGCTTTCCTCAACCCAAAGGTGAAGTTGTTAATGTAGTATTATCCATTTGTGATGGCACATTCAACATTCATTTTTCTTGTTAGAAATGGTCATAAATATGGATTCATCATCGTAACATTTTATTTGTGTGTTTTGATTACTTCATGAATGTGTTGATAGGTGACTAAATTTTCTCCAGTGACTATAGTTATAGAACTTCTATGTTAGATATAAAAATCATTCATGACCCTTCATCAATAGCTTTAGTTTTTGGGAGAGTTTGTGACATGGTATCAGAGTCCCCATGACCAATTGGTTAATTAAAGTTGACTTTAAGCATAAGATGAAGCGGGTCTGTGTATTTTCTATGCTTTAGGTCCTGAGGGGTGAGTGCCGCATATAAAGAACTATTCGTGAGCCTTCACCTAATATTTTAAGCTTCTCGGACAGTTGCTGAGTGACATTCTTGTTTTGGAGTGGAGCGTGAGATGGCAATTAGATACACAAAGTAGTAACTTGTGGAACAGCATTTGGTCCCTCGATAGAACCAGATATTTTCTGTATTGTGAAGCAATGACATCATTTGGATCAACTTCATAGGAAGTGCTGGAGTTTCTGATATACCCAGTTAAACACTGAATATCGAACAAGAGAAGGGTCATTGTCACTCACTATAAAGGGGCTTAATATTTGCCTCAAGTATTGTATGTAAAAGAAAAGCAGTCAATTACATAAAATTAACTGAGAAATTATAAGTTGGCCAAAGAAAAGGAGAAAAAAAATTATAGTTCCTGGTTGTAATGCTGACCAATTTGAATGGGATTACTAGTAATGTCTCCAATATAAAAGTATTATCTGAATTAAGCTAAAAGACTTGGTTTGTATTATGTTCCATATTCACTTTTTCTACCGTAATATTTGTTGTTTAGACTATGTAACATTCATACAAAAACCACCTTAATAAGAATTAATTTGATGTACTCAGCATCAGAAACTCTTAAGTTTCCCGAAATTTCATTATTTTTATAGATAACATGCAGAAATTTTTACTTGATTTATGGGATAGGATTTTAGATTTATGATCCTTTTCATTGTCTTAACCACAATGAAGCACTAGATATTTACGAGGTACATTTGTTTAAAATTAAAACTATTTTTTTATTCTCCCCCAAAATTTAGCATATGGCTCAGTTAATTTGTTTTATCTTGAATAAAATAATAATCATTTTATTTGTTACTGAATTTGGACAGAGTTATGAGAAATTCTAGGCACAAGCACAACAATTTTTTAATAAACAAATCATATATCTGATGTTTAAAGTTAATAAAATGAAGCCTAGCCCCTCATTTCTAATCAAATTTCTTGTTGTATTTCTCGAAAAAAAATAGAGGGTCAAGCTCATTCTATTTCGTGTCAACAGAAATCTAACCCTTCATATCCTTTTATACGTGATTTTTTATGTTTGGCTATGCTTTGAATATGCAAGTAATATTCGTTGGTTTTTGTAGTGGCTTAAAGGGGAAAAATGTACTGTCCCTCGTTGAGCCAGCTTTGAGTCAAAGTCTTCTAGAAGATCATTTATATATTTACCTTGTGTCTTACTATAGGCTTTCTTGACTTTTGCAGCTTACAATCACGCTTCAGAAAGAGGACAATGATCCAGATAAAGTTCAATATAACAAATATTTCTATGCTGGGGGGTTGGTTGAATATGTGAAATGGCTCAACACAGATAAGGTCCTGCTCATTTTACCTTTAATGCTTTTAGTGTATGGTTAATACCAATTTTGTTTTATCTATTTTGTGCTGGTTTGCTTAGGTAGGATTCTTATCCTTCATTCTACTTTCTTCAATTATAAAATAAGTTTCTGTTATATTTGTGTACATCACATTTTGTTATGTTTCTAAAAAATATCTATCATAATGCATATAATATTTACTGCACAACCTTTTTAAGTTCACATCTGTTAAAACTTGCTCACATGGAATTTGAGATAAAAAATGTTTAAATGGTACCATTTAGATTCGGATTTGCATAATAAATTATGAAAGTTGTATTACTCATTACAGTTTTGGAGTAATGCTGCTAACACAACCTGCTGAATCACCACCAGGGCTTTATATCTATGTTTTGTCAGGCAGATTAATGACCCGTGCAGGATAAGACAATGCTAACACAGGAGTATGTATTAGTATTTCATTGTCAGTTATGTGGGTACATTAAGTTTTCTTTACATGCTGCATGAGCATTAATAAATTTGGCTTGATGTCTGCTAGCACCCATGGCAGCAGAATAATGAAAAAGGGCCAAGTAGTTAGAACTGGAAATAAGGCATTACAGTTACAGTTCTTGTTAGTTACAGAATTAGTTGGGTGGCTGTCTTAAATTGAAGGAGGGAAGAAGATTGAAAGAGATTTGTTGGTTTTTGAGAACAGATCATTAGCTCAGTTGTGAAAGGAATTAAGGTAACCCTTTGTGAAGGGGTAAACCTTGGAGGAGAACATGGCATTTTAAAACCAATCTTTTTTCTATTTTCCGTTTTGGTTTGTAACAATCTTTCTTTTTAATCTGAGTATCTTTTTGGCAGTTTGGATTTGTTAGCATTGCTTGTAAGTAGTGTTCACTGTTGTTCCTTATAAGGATGGCTGAGTGTTGCTAATTGATTTTATCAGTCTTGATTTTCTATATTTATAAAATGTTTCATCGCTTCAATTTGTTCCTTCTAATGGAAAAACTGACTACTTATTATGCAATATATTTGGATCTGGATGTGGATTTGATGTTTTCAGTAGCTGTAAAATGGTTACTGACTAGTGACCTTCTGTTGCAGAAAGCACTTCATGATGTTTTGAGTTTTAGAAAAGAAATTGATGGCATCACAGTTGATATAGCTTTTCAATGGTAAGCACTCCAACTCCAATTTGCTAGATACATTTCATCTGGTGTGTAAGGATTAATTTGTCTGTATTTGGCACTTGATTGCTTATTCATTAAGAATTAAATTGTGAAGTTAGGGCTAGCCTTTTATATCTTGTAAAGGCAGAAGCTCAAAATCAATGATGGATTTTTGTTATTTTCTGTATGATATGGTTGGCAACTATTCGTAATTCCTTTTCTGTATATGTGATTCATTTCATTTCTTTGCTAGGTGTGAAGATGCATATTCAGATACAATACTGGGATATGCTAATAGTATACGCACTATTGATGGTGGTACTCATATTGATGCCATGAAGGCTTCTATAACAAGAACGTTGAATGGCCTAGGAAAGAAGTCAAAAGTTATTAAGGTATTACTCAGCTGTAGTCTTTTTTTTTTTTTTTCATTTATTTCTCTCTTGTCAATTTGTGCATGGCTACTTTCCTGAAATACGAAACTCCTGGTCTAGAATTTGTTACTTTGATATTCTCTCTGACTATACATACTGATACTTTAACTACATTGTTTTAGCCTTAACTTTGGGTGCACTACAGTTACTATTCACTCAAAAGACTAAACAACTTCCCTATTATATAATGTATTCTTTACAGAACTGGAACTTCTGTACATGTTGACATGTTCTATTAAACATGGTAACTGTAAAATAGCAAATACGTCCCTTTTTGCCTGAAATGGTTCATGGATTATTTTATGAATAATTCACAACATGGATTCTTTTGATTGTTAAATAGTGTTTAATGTTCTTTGCAGGATAAGGATATTACTTTAAGTGGTGAGCATGTAAGAGAGGGTCTAACATGTGTTGTCTCAGTCAAGGTCCCAAACCCTGAGTTTGAAGGACAGACAAAGGTATTACCTACTTTACGTTAGTTTGATGGAATGCTTATATACTTGCTATCAGGGCTACTGGAACATTGGAGTTTTCACAATCTTAATTCTTTTCCTGCATTTCATGGTACTGCTTCAAGTTTTTTTCTTACCATTCTCATTGATGTGAGAAGACAAGGTTAGGAAATCCAGAGGTGCGAAAAGTGGTTGATCAATCTATTCAGGATTATCTTACTGAGTATTTAGAATTGCATCCAGATGTACTGGATTCAATACTTTCTAAAGCTCTTAATGCTTTTAAGGTAATCATCTCTTTTTTGAGTTAACAGTTTTGTATTGTAAATCTATTGCTCCTGATAGGATTTAGGCTTAACCAAAATCTTCCTCTTGTGAATTTATTGTCTATTTAGGCAGCTCTGGCAGCAAAAAGAGCAAGAGAATTGGTGAGACAAAAGAGTGTATTGAGATCTTCATCTCTTCCGGGAAAACTAGCTGATTGCTCATCTTCAAATCCTGAAGAATGTGGTATGCCTTTTAATTTTGTGGAACTTATTTTACTTACCATTTGAACCACAGTTTTGTGACTGACCTAGAGTTATTACTGTTAATTTCACTTATCATAACTCTTAGAATATGACATTTGTTGTGGCTCAGATCAACTAAGGCTAAATATTATAATTATAATGGCCTGGAAAATCCTTATCCCATGATATAACTCCAAAAGTTAAGTTAGACCCAGCCCAAATTCAGATGGTATTATTATAAAGACTTTCATAAAAAATAGTCAACTGTCCTAAAATCTATTTGGTCCCATGGCTTTCCCAGTACAATGTAAAAAAAATAGTTTTGATAGTATCTCCCGAAAATTTTTATTTCAGTGTATTTCTTTCAAGTTTTAGCTTTGACTTTTAGTCTTGCCACCTAATTATGTTTAGGGATTCAAATGTATACCCTTTTCAGTTATCGTTCAGATATATTTCAATTTTTAAGGCTGTAGGTTGATTCCCTCCGGCAATTGTATGTAGCTTAGTTTGTAAGTATTGGGGTTTCAATAATAATTTGATGCTTGGGTTATGACGTTACATGGTGGTTATGCCACAATTCTAGAGATTATATGTAGAGCATATTTATCATAATCTTATGATTCGATGCCTTTTGGCTATATACGTGAATGAATTTATGAAATTTGTACCACCAATACGATTCAACTATCCATATGTTTTTATCTGTTCACCAATCATCATGAGAAAAAATTTAAAAGTCATGTGAGCTTAAATTTTTAAATTAAAGTAATTTGAAGGAACATTTTGAACTTATTTTATTTGTTTATTTCACCTTTATTTGTCACTTTCTCATTCAATGCATATACTCTATTTTGGTATTTATTTGTTTCGTTTCCATTCTTCTTAAATAAAGATTCCACAAGCTTAGATACAACTAGTCAAGGTTTTCACATCAAGATTTTAAGTGAGAGGAGTTTCCAAAATCGTAAATCGTAATATTGTAACACGAATAAGAGATCTTAGTTTACATAAATATAATATGTTACTATATAATATTGACTTAAAAATATATATAAAATCTTTTCGAAAATATTTTTAAAAATAAAATATGATAAATACAATTAAATTTAATAAATTAAATTAATTAACATTAATTTTATATTACTATTTAATAATAAATTATTATAAATGTAATTAAATCTTATAATAATATAAAAAAATTATATTATCAATGATTATTAATTAATTAATGATATATTTTTTATGATAACAATTTTTTATTTAAAAAGTTATACACTCATTGGACTTTTTACTAGTCCTCTTCCCCTTCCTAGATCTACACAAGTATCACTCATGTGTTCCACTCCTTTCCCCCTTTCTCTTTCCCTTTTGCACTCCTCTCTTTTACTTTATTCAAGACTCCCATTTCTCTTTCTTTTCCACATCTTTCTACTTTTACGTTGAGTAGCAGTGCAACAATGGCTATGACAACAACAACGGTGGCGATGATAGCAACGATGATGATGGCAACAACAATGACAACTCAGGTTTGCGGTGATGGAGAAGTGTGAGAGAGGTGTGTTAGGTTGGGTTTTTCTATCTAGTTGTCAGATTTAGGTTGGGCTACTAACATTTCATGACATGGTCGTTTCGTAACACCATTTTGTGACAGCCAAAGCGGTCGCTATGGGTCGTCATGCAAAACTTGTTTTCACAATTTGACAATTTCACGATTTTCTAAGTTGATCTCATCGATCCTACTCTAATGTGATCTTATGTAGGCTATTCCTCTCGATTTTAACTACATTGCAACTAATAGTTTTGTTTTATATGACTTCTACTTAAATTGTTTGCATCAATTTCTAGTTTTAATTGTTTATGTTGACCACCACATATCTATGATATATTTGAAGTAAGTTTTCATTATACCCGAATCTTATGATTGGATACAAAACTATGTTTCATGATGAAAAAGAAAATATTTAAGTGAGATTGAATCTCAATTCCATAACCTTGATATAGAGTGTCATTTGATGATGTTTGGAATGATTTGACTCATGTTTGATCAATATTATTTAAAACAAATTGTTTCTTAGAGAAGGAAATAAAGAGTTGATGGATTGAAACCATGCGTTTGAATGCATAGTGGATGTGAGTTTATATAGACTTATTACATTAATGGTGGTGATGCGAGTTTGAATAGTTGAATATAGTGAAAAACTAGGTATAGGGTTAATTTCTTGTGCCTCAAATATACATAGGATAATATATTTATAATTAAGATTCATACAAGTAAATATGGTAAATACATATATTGTGATTAATAATATTTAAAATATCTAACACTTCTCCTCAAGTCGATGCATATAAATCATATCAATTCTATGTTACGTAAAGATTTGGTGAAAATATTTGCTAATTGTTTACTTGAGTTTTACAAACTTGATCTTAATGTCTCCAGATACAATCTTTTCGAATAAAATGACATTCAACTTTAATGAGCTTGGTCCTTTCATGAAAGACATGATTAAAGCTAATATGAAGAGCAGCCTGATTGTCACATATAAGTGTCATTTGAGTGACATCTCCAAATTGTAACTCTTTAAGTAATTGCTTAAGTCAAACAAGTTCACAAGTAGCTGAGGCCATAGCTCTACATTCTGCTTCTACATTAGATCTTGACACAACACTTTGTTTATTGCTCTTCCAAGAGATCAAGTTACCTTCAATAAAAACACAGTATCTGGAAGTAGATCTTCTACTAGAAGGAGATCTTGCTCAATCAACATCTGAATAACAGACAACTTTAGCCTGGTAATTGTGATGATATAACAACGCTTTTCCAGAAGATCCTTTAATGTACTTTAATATACGGATAACTACATTCCAATGATCTGCACATGAAGAATTAAGAAATTGACTCACCACTAGGTATTGGGATTCATGGGTGTGTCAACAGATTTTGAATTCATCAACCCAGTTTCTTCTAAAATATCAAATGCATATTTTCTCTGAGATATAACAATACCATTATTGGATTATATAACCTCAATTATCAAGAAATATCTAAGTTTGCCAAGATCTTTGGTTTGAAAGTGGTGACAAAGTTGTTGCTTTATCTGGGAGATGCCATGGTGATTACTTCTTGTAAGAACAATATCATCAATATATACTATTAAATAGATACACCCAACACTTGAGTGACGGTAAAATATTAAATGATTTGTCTTACTGCGAGTCATACCAAATTGTTGAACAACATTGCTAAATTTTTCAAACCAGGCCCTAGGAGACTGTTTTAGGCTATATAAAGATTTGTGAAGATGACATACCAATGCAGAAGACTTCCCTTTAGCAACAAAGCCTGAGGTTACTCCATATAAATTTCTTTATGCAAATCTCCATTAAGAAAAACATTTTTGACGTCTAGTTGGTAAAGAGACCATTATTGAAGAGCAGCCATGGCTATGAATAAGCGAACAAAAGCCATCTTGGCCATTGGATAAAAGGTGTCACCATAGTCCAAACCAAAAATTTGTGTGTAACCTTTGGCCACAAGACGAACTTTGAGATGATCAATAGTACCATTAGGACCAATTTTAATAGCAAACTCCCATCTACAACCAACAACAGATTTCTTAGACTGTAATGGGACGAGTTCCCAAGTTTCACTATTCTGAAAAACACTCATTTTATCAAGCGACGCTAACCAGGATGGGCTAAGGCATCACCTACGGATTTGAGAATTGACACAGAAGTAATGGACGAAAGACAGGTATAACAAGATGAAGATAATCTATGATAACTCAAAGTAGCATAATGAGGAGAGTAATTACAAGTAGAATGTATACCTTTACGGAGGGCAATTGGAATGTCAAACTCCGTTGTCGGAGTTGGAAGAGACAAACGAGTTGGTACTAGACGTGAGTCATTTGGTGGTTGTTAGGAACATTGTCTTTGATTATAAACCTGAAGTGGTGGTGGTGAAGGAGAATCCAAAGGTAGACTAACAGGAGAATCACACACAATAGGAATATTGACAGTAGCAGACGACAACACACATGGAGAAGGACACTTAAAGTAAAAAGAAGACTCATTAAAGGTGATATATTTAAAAATAAAATAATGGTTAAGAGAAGAAGAGAAACACTTATATCCTTTTTGTCTCAAACTCCGGTCCTATAAACAAATAGAATCTTTGGTAAAAGAAATAACATAATCAAGAGGACGAGTAAGATGACTAGTGGATGATAAGTTAAAGGGAGAACCAGAGACATAAAAAACATTATCAATGGATAAAGATGAAAAAAGTTTAACAATACCAATACCATGAGACAAAATCCTAAACCCATTAGCCATTGTAATCGAAGGTAAATTATTCGGAGAGGATAAAGAAGAAAACAAAGATTTGTTCCCAATAATATGATCTGTGGTGCTTGAGTCAAGAATCCAAGGTTCAATAGAAGGAGATTGAGTTAGTTCAATAGAAGATGTATCTGTGAGTGCAACAGAAGTAGTGGAACTAGAGTTCTGACGAGCTCATTCCATTTGAAAAATTCATTGAAAATAGCATATTTGTCTGCGGTATAAGATGACGTAGGATCCGTAGTAGATGATTGTGGGGCAGCGGAAGAAGCCATAGAGGAAGATAGAGAAAAATCCTAAAAACTTTAAATAGCGTGTGGAGACTCAGATTGCAATGATCTCAATGACACGGTGGTTGTCTAGTCAAGATGAGCAGAACAGTGTGGTCGTCGGTTTGAACTATGACTCGGGCGGCAACGGTGGCTCCGACAACGGTGGTGATAGTGGAGGTGGCAGGTGCAGGGGGTGGCGGCGACGATGAAAAAAAAAGAAAAGAAGAGAACCTAAGCTCTAGATACCATGTTGAATATAGTGAAAAATTAGGTATAAGGTTAATTCCCTTGTGTCTCAAATACACATAAGGTAATATATTTATAATTAAGAGTCATACAAGTAAATATGGTAAGTACATATATTGTGACTAATAATATCTAAAATATCTAACAAGAATAGAGAAATAAAAGCAAAAATGGAGTTAGAACGTGTCGATGAGACAAATAGTGGTGATGCGATTGGATTTCGATCATTAAAAGGCAGCACGTGAGACAATCCCCACTTTGATTGGCACATGCGAGCCTATGCTATGGTGGATGGTTTCACGGTTGACGGGGTTGGGTCATGCTCCTCAAGGCACACCTAGCCCTAGCTTCTTCGATTAGAATGACATTGACTGACAGCTGCGGTGGTGGCGACAGACGACGATGCTTGATCTTACTCGTTTTGATGCCAATTTGAGAGAAATCTTTAAAGACAACATCAAATGACACTAGTATGTTATATTTATATACGAGAGATAATAGAAAGAGAGGTTAGGTTGATGCCCAAACCGTAACCCTAAATCTGGGTACATACTTAAAAAAAAATATAAAATAAATCATTTTAACGCCAACTATCTTTCCATGTCTTATGTCTTCATAAATGGTGCCACTCTTTTTATATTTTAGAATCATAATTATTACACCCCAATATCTCCCGAGAGAGAGAGAGTTTAAGAACTTGCTCAAAACAGTCATTGTAAAGGCAATATATGATATTGACTGAGATAGCTCAGCATTCTAGCCTACCTGAGATATCTCCTAGGATCCAATAAAGGTTCCCTAATATGTAAAACTTGACAATAGGATTAACAAGAGTGTCCACTAACTTAGCATTTAATAGATCAATTTCTTACATGATGTGAGGAGCATGTATACTTTGAGAGATTATCAAATAGTGTTTGGATTGTTGTTAATATTTAGGAAATATCAAAGCTTACCAAGGTCTTTAGTCTACAACTTGTGTCAAAGGTACAGTTTCATGTTAAGAAGGGAAACAAATTATTGGCTACGTTGGTATGTCTAAATAGGTCATATGACCAGATGGTATGTTGGGGGAACATCTAGTTGTGCACCACATGGTAATTGTGAGAAACATGTTTAAGTGGGGTTAAATTGGGGATATTAGGAGAAACAAAACTTCACATGTCAAAAAAAGAGGAATACTCAAAAGGAGGGAAAACAATGATAGGTTGATAACCTTTCTACGACCAATAATTTATTGGGAAGATACATTTGATGGACTATGGTTAGAACATGTCAAGGCTAGAACTAGATTGTGAACAAACATGTGGGGTCAAAGAGACGATGAGAAATATATGAAATGGTGAACGAGGAACCTAATAATTTATGGGATAGAGGATGACATGTGATTGATAAAGTAGTTTGAAGAGTGTCAGGGAGCATTTCCATGAAGGATAAGAGCTCAAGTGGTTTCAATAAGATGCTTTATGCACATAGTCATCTCGTTTTGTTGAAGTGTGTGGACTCAAGATGTTTGATGAAGAATGCATTTCAAAGTCAAATTGTTTAAACTAATGAGATAAATATTCACATGCACATTCATTGTGAAGAGACCCTATAGGGATTGCAAACCGAGTATTTATTTTCTGTTAAACTTCTTAAAGAGGGAAACAACCCGACCTGCTTTTCATGAACCATAACCTTGTTGAATGCAAAAAGCTGTATGTGGAACGATTCTGGAAAAGTTGCTGGAGTGTGGCAGTGGTAGAGAAAACTTACCAAAAAAATAGATACTTACGTTAATTAAACATAATTAGAGGTTATTCTCTGATTATATATATATATATATATATATATATATATATGCCAATGTACTGTTATTGTTAGAATAAATACAAAATATTGTATTCTGATTTTCTACAAGTATTTTGTATCTAGAGATTTGTCCTAGCATAGTTGATTCATGTCAAATTAGCTCAGATCCTTTTTGTAAATCTCTTGACGAGATGAAAACGTGTTTTGAATTGAACGTTCTTTGCCATTATTGCAGAAATCTTTATAGTTGAAGGGGATTCAGCTGGAGGAAGTGCTAAACAAGGGCGTGACAGGCGCTTCCAGGTAATGTAATGTAAGCTTAAGTGGTTAAAAAAAAAAGGCTTGAAGGAACATTCATGAACTTATCTTATTTGATTATTCCACTATTTTATTAATCACTCATTCAATGCATATACTCCAGTTAGCTATTTAATTGTTTCATGTCCATTCTTCTACAATAAATCCTTCACAAACTCATAACTAATTGTTTTATAAGATTTCTCTTTAGGCTGTTTTTATCTATGTCTAGTTTAAAATGTTTACATTGAATATTATTTATCTTCTATATGATATATAAAGTCTTTTTCCATTGCTTTTGAATATTATGATTCATATAAAATAAATTAGCTTGGTGATTTACTATTGGAATCTCAATTTGATAATCTTGCCTAAAAGCTCTAGCTCTTCGGTAGTGATAGATGAACACTGGGAGTATAGGGGCAATTGCCCCCGCAATTTTTTTTTAAAATAAATAATTTTGTTTGCCCCCATACAAAATGTGTTACCCTTATTAGATATTTTTTTAAAGGAATGTACAAAGTTACCAACAGATAATATTAGATTTTTTTTGAGACTATATTTTCTAAAAAATGAAAATATTTTTTGAAGAAAATTATATATTATTCTTTGTCCCCACTGAAAGAAAATTTTAGATCCGCCACTACTCCAAGGTGTATACACTAGATATGCTTTATTATATATTTAACACACTCCTTGCAAACTGTTTGAGTGTATGATTGTGAACAATGCACAGCCCTTCCCGGCACTCTACAATATTCAGGAGCAACTGTCCTAAAATCTTGCTTTCTTAGGTGAAGAAGGTGTAGAACCGGTTTTCTTATATCTCTAAGAGAAGTGCTTGGAACACACTCTTATTTCTTAAAATTTATTGAAAACTACAAAATCAAGAGAGTATTAAATAAGTTGTGAAACTCGTCAAATTTTGTGATTTCTAATAAAATGTGTTAAAAAATGTGTGTTCCTAACATTTATCTGGCTCTAATAAAAACTATTTAATCTATTACTTGATTTAGTTTATTTATACCTTTGAAGGTTATAGTTTCATTTGAATGCATAGATGTGTAAAATAGTGATCGTGCTAATTAAAAGATTGCCACTTACATCTTGAAAGGAAAATAATTAAAGGAAATTTTTTTTTTCTCAAATTCTTGTACAATATTTGTCAGTTCTATAAAATTTGAATATTAATAATGATGTTGATGAATTGATATAGGTGTTAACATTGTAAATGTACAAGTAGCATTTTCTTCTGTGAATTTTTTTTTTTAATGATACTAATATAATTATGTTAATTTTGATTAAAACTTTTATCTTACAAAATAGAAGATGTCATATCACGTAGTATTCTATGTTTTAGTATCTAGGATCAATATTCCAATGATGGGGAATTGAAGATATCACACTCAGGATACTGGTTGAGTGGTTACTTGTGACTGGAAAGTACCTACCAAGATCAAAGGGAAGTTTAATTGTATTGCTATCCGTTTAAGAATACTCTTTGGTAGTGAATAGTAAAGGTAGGAATAGGAGAAATGACAATGTTAGAATTTAGTTTTTAGTCCTGTGAAAAGGGGGAGGTAGATCAAGAATATTAGAGGAAATTGTAATAATTTAAATGAGATCTCGTGGTAATATTCATTAGAATTTGGTCCTTTACTGTGCCGATGGCATCACATGATTTATGTTGCCAAGCTTACCTAGTATAATAAGGTTTTTGTTGTTGTCATTACAGCTTTATGTCACCTTGTGAATGTAAGAAAACATTATGACAAAGGTAATCCTGTGATGAATGGAAATATTAAATTGTGAGGAGTTTTCAAATATGGATTTGGTTTTCGTACTTATAATGCTTAATTTTCTACTTGTTGAATCTAATCACTTAAATTCTTTGTTTACTGACTTGTGGAGCACTTTGTTAGATTGATGTTCATTGTATTTTTATTTGAATTATTTGGAGCTGCGTAAGTGCATCTACTTATCAGACCATATTTGATGCAGGCCATTCTCCCTCTGAGGGGTAAGATTCTGAATATTGAAAGGAGGGATGAAGCAGCAATGTACAAAAATGAAGAGATCCAAAATTTAATTCTTGGTCTTGGTCTCGGTGTGAAGGTTAACATTATTCCTGTTTAATTAATTTGGTAATAATGAGGGAATTTAGAGAGAAAAAAATATAAATGTGAAGGTGAGCAGAAAGAGAATATGGTAATTAGGGAATACAACAAATGTATTTGGTATTTCTGTCATGTTTATGAATGGAACCCAAAGTAATACTGATTCCTGAAAATAGGTTGGGAAGTTAGAAATTATCATTGAAATGGAAAATCTAACTTTAAATGGAAGCATGATAACCAAGTTATTAGTGATATTTTATTTTAGAAATCTTAAGTCTAACTATTATTTAATAATTTAATTAAGCAATTTCTTTTGTCATTTCAGGGAGAGGATTTTAAAAAGGATGCACTCCGGTATCATAAGATTATTATTTTGACTGATGCTGATGTGGATGGTGCTCACATCCGAACTTTGCTACTGACATTTTTCTTCAGATATCAGGTAAAGTATACTGGAAATACTGGCTAAGTCTGCTCCTAATGAATACGAAAACCAAGCCAGCTCCTATAAGAATATAATTCAAAATAAATGATTAAAATTGATGCAGTGGTTCTTTCTTGCAGAAAGCTTTGTTTGATGAAGGTTGTATATATGTTGGTGTTCCACCATTGTACAAGGTTTGCCTAAAATTTTTACTTCATGGAATGTCTATCAGATGGCATCATGCTAACTTCGAGCCATCTTTACTGAAATAACCAGGTTGTCAGGGGAAAACAAGTGCACTATTGCTATGATGAAGCTGACCTTAAAAAGCTTCGAAGATCATTCCCTCCTAATGCATCATACAACCTGCAAAGGTTCAAAGGTATGACTAAAAGTTATTCAGTTGCACACTGCTTGCATTAGAATTATTTGTAGGCTTGTCTTACAATTTTGACAAAATAAATTTTCATACGACATTGCCTTATGTATTAGTGAGATCGTTATTGTTGAGAACTGCTATTCATCATGAAGTGGGTCAAGTGATCTGACTACAAGGGGGAAACTGTATCCGGCAAATAGGCCAAAGAAATGAATTTGGAAATAATTGGATGTCATGTTAAGCTACCAGTTTCCCACTTCAATTTCCTGAAACTTAAAAATTATCTGTAGAAATTAATATTTTTTTAAATGTCGTTAAAGTTCCCCCACCTAAAGTGCATTCAAGCTTTGGTTGAACCATTTCAAGGGATTGGTTGTGATTGGAAAACATTATACAATCCAATATAATCGATTATGTTAGGAAAACATACTAATTTATGTTTTGGTTTGTAACACTTTCCTCGTCTTTCCTCACATTTTTGTGCAGAAATATACCTGTGGGTACCCTTTGTTTGCTTTTTGTTTATCACTTGCGCTCTTTCTTTCTATTCTTAATAGCATACTCTTTTGTATGTTCTATAAATACAGGGTTGGGAGAGATGATGCCTTTACAATTATGGGAAACAACCATGGATCCAGAACGCAGGTTACTAAAGCAATTAAAAGTTGAGGATGCAGCAGAAGCAAGTATTGTTTTTTCCTCTCTTATGGGTACTCAGGTAATGTGACCTATGGCTTACATATTTTGTGAATTTTTTCTTTTTCCTGAATCTATTTGTTTCTATATACTTCACTAGATAGATTGAACTCTAAGAAAACTAGGGGAAACCAAATTTTACAAATAACTAATGATTTCAAAATTTCAATACTTGTTTTGATAAAAAAATTGGGAAATTATCCGTGCATTTCTTATTTTAGTCTATTTATACATTAACCTCTGAAATTACCATATATTTTTGCGTTGAAGAGGGTTAATTCCTTCACCCCATGCAATGAAGAGGTCAATGTGGAATTTTGGGCTAGTATGGTAAAAGTTTATACGAACAATTTAATACTCTTGGGATGACTGATAAGATGAACTTGGATTTTAGTTACACAGTTGGTGTTGATTGATCGTTAACCATTTTTAAATATGCGCATTTGCCTATCTTTCACCTGGGCAATAGTAACCAAGAGCTGCTTCTATTTCATGACATGCTTGTTTGTTCATTGTTGTATAATCCTTTTTTCTGTTATGTACTATGAAATTGACCTTATTCACGATTATACTGTTTTTTAATAAAAATATTGTTTCACACCATGGTCTGAGTAGCTATTGTTGTTACATAATTCAAATTTCTATTATAATTTGTATCAGGTGGATATTCGGAAAAAACTCATACGAAATTCTGCGAGCATGATTGATGTTCATCAGCTAGATATTTGATGGTGCAGTTAGATGTGGAGAAATGGAATGGCTTCCATATTAGCCATCCACTACAATATAAAGCACAATTTTTCTATATGGCCTGGAACGTGGAGAGGTCTGAAATGAAGCAAGGCTCCTGTTTTTTCATGGAGCCATTGGTGATATAAGAACTGTTTTTAGGCACAAATTGACCTGTTATTTTTAGTTGCTGTGAAATATTTGGGAGGCATGTTGGAGGTTCTAATTTTATTGTTCAAAATTTGTCCAGTGCATATATTTACCCCCCATATATGATCCCAAATTTTGTAATTGCACGTGTACCCAATCATATTCATGTACTTCAGATGTTACCTTCACAAGTTATCATTACTAAGCTCGTCTTTGGTCCTGCCCTTAATTGCAAAGTTAAAGTGTATCGTGATCAAACTGGGCGAGTATTTGCAGAATACTGGTTCCTAGAATTGAATCTTCTTCTGCCTAAAATATGTTTGAACGTGAATTACTGAACAAAATACTGTTTTGAAAATCAGGATTTAATAAAAAATCCTACTAGAAATTTATTTATTGTTTTAGTTGAATTAGGACAAAATTAGAGAAATAAAGACAATCGATAAAATTAAAAAAATTAGCTTAATTTTTGGATTGAATTGGATCAATTTTTTTTAATATAATTTTTCTATAAAAATATAGTATATTTTAATTTTTTTTATTTTATATTAGTTATGTTAAAATAATTATTTTATGTTTTTAATTTTTATTTTAATTTGTGATATTCATAGTAATAATTTTTATTATTTTTTTATAAAAATATTATTACTAATAAATTTATTATATAAAAATGTTATTTTATTAAATTATATTGGAATCATACTCTCACCGATTCAATAACTGGTTAAATTTTATTAAATTATGCATTCGTTGATTCCACTCGGTTTTAAAACATTGGATTAAATCATTTGCTCGGGAGGCATCTACCACAAAAGCTGTATGCGGTGGGATATTTTTATTTATATATCTGCCATTGTGATTGCTCCGGTGAGTTTTCTTTACTGTCTACAAAACACTTGTACTGTTAATTACATACAGATATCCGTTTGCGTTTTGTATGATTGCGATGAATGTGTAATTTCACTCTTAAAAGGTTGAAGAGCATGTTTGCTGAAATCTACTTTGCTTCTGTATCACTTCACATTATTTCATTCAAGTGTTGGCTATTGATTTCTATTTGTTGTCGGTGTAAATTTAAAATAAGATGATATATGCAACATTTGTCTCACCAAAATGTATAGAGTTTTACACTATTAATTTAATCACCGTAGTTATAGTGTTTAAAGCTACTGTTATGAAAATAAATAATTTGATCGTACATTCTACGAGTAAAATGTTTTCTGTATCATTGATTAATTGCAGAAGTCTGTCAAATTTTCTAAACAGTGTATAGGAGTTTGTCTAATTGTATAAGCAATGTGATTTTAAAATAAATATCACTGTTTTCCCCAACTTCCAACTTAGGTAGGAATCTAAACGGAATATGCCATAAAATGTGATCAAAATAAACAAAATATTTCTTTAGTGGCACCCAAGAGAGTTTGCGAGAATATGCCACATAGTATTCGATAACAACAACCTCATTCAACACACCCACCCACGAACAAAACACCTTTTCTTTCCATTCAATAACAACAACCTTAACTCATGAATGGTGAGGGAACACATACCAATGATTCATTTGCTTCCACGTGGAACTGAGAGGAAACTCATTTGCAATTTCACCGCCGTACACGCGCATACAACCATTTGTGAAAGTTGAAGGTTTATGTATGTCATGTTCGGTCACATTGAACTCTCTTTGCCCATGCGTTAGTTTCTGAGCATTCCAATGAGAAAAAGACTAACCACAAAAATTGGGGTTGCATATTTTCTTTTGTAGTGACTGATAATACGCTTTTGAATAGTTTCTTGTGATTAACTCGGTAGAAGTTTTGTACACTGTTGTGATGATATTGTCTCAACTATTTTGGTCATGTATCCAATTGCTCTTCGTTGCAGTGGTGGATGTGTTGAAAGTGTTTATTTGATGGCATAATAAGTCCGTCCAATGTAAAAAAAAGTTATTTTGATTGTTGATGGACCATTTGATTTTTCTTGTGGATGGGGGAATACACAGTGCACGCTATATTCAAACTAGTGACAGTGCATGTGCATGTTTTAACTGTGATTGTGTAAATGATCATTGATATGGGAAATCATTGTAAATCTTTTGTTTTCTTACTATTTTCATCATCGTTGGGAAATTGGTGTCCGGTAAAAAAAAATTGTATGCTGTTGTCTACAGGAATAGTATTTAAATTTTGTAACTTGAGGACGATAAATGTTCTGACTTGAATTTCAATGATAGGTCATGTGAGACTTTCAACATACCCCCTCCAACGAAGCCTGCCGGACCAGGCAAAGGGTACTTTTGACCCAACTAAAGGACAACTTTTGGCCTATGACAATAACCAGAAAGATGTTAGGCTTTGGCTCTGATACCATGTTAAAGTTCCAACATAAAACCAATTGGTAATATGTGGATTAACCTAACATGTATTTAAATCATACCAAATGACATGAGATAGAGGATGTGGGACTTTCAACAGCTTGCTATAAAAGATTGGATTTTAGTATTTTACTTTGAAATGTTCACCAGTTAGTAACTACTACTAATGTCGACAGAATTGAGATGTCAAACTTGACTCAGGTCTTATTAAGTTTCTTCAAAGTTTTGTTTTCTTGTTTTTCAGCTACTATAACTGGTTGCGAATGTTAGAATGCTTAGGTTTTGATTGTGTACGTGGAAATCCATGTTTTGTCATTGTTCCAAAAGTATTTTTACATGAGAGGGTCACGATAAATTCTAGAAGTTTTATTTCTTTGGAGTTCTTATAGAATGGACATTACAAGTATTTCCAACCAAAAATGTTTCTTGCTCATATAGTCATGTGCAAGGAACATATTTAGGTAAGAGCCTGGATTAGAAACGTAGCTGTGCATAAACTATGTAGGAATATAATCACATGGTGAAAGCTGTGTAGGACATATGTATTCCTTTCAACTACGCTTCAAATTATTCCTGTTGGTTGTGTGTTATGGAGAAAATAGTTTTCATGATAGGTCTCAATGATTGGATCCTCCTAAGTAGCTTACATTTATGTTGAGTAGTTGCCGTCTTTTTGTTTTCTCTTCTCCATATGATGTAAAGGTGGAATAAATGCAGGAGCGCCAAAAGAACAACTAAAAATAACAACAAAAGCCTTTTTCTCACCGAGGCAGCTAGACGAATTACACGATGTTATTCGCCTCAGTTAAAGACCAAGTTTTCAGAAGTACGAGCATGAGCCTAAAATTGTCTAACTGTAAGACATGAAAATTCTATTTAAGTAGAATCTGTCACTTCGTATATCTGGCTTTGGAGAGAACTGCTCTCTACTTCAAGATGTTCAATTATCATTGAACAAGGCTTGGGAAGTTTCCTCGTTTTTTGTATAGCTTTTTTAACGAAATAAAACTAAACAGAAACTACAAACCGATCAATGTACCACTAACGAAATGATTAGTGTCGTTGACTATTTTGCATATTTGTAAATTATGTTATTTTTTTAGATAAAAAAGTTATGCAGAATGAAGTAGACACTATTTCCCATGCTTAGTGTGTCATTTTTCTGATGTTTTATATCATTTGTAGAGCTATTTGCTGGAAATAAATGTGGAAGTTGTACTAACAAACTAATGAGCTAATGTTCTAGATTATGCAGCTTTATGAGTGTGATGTAAGAGATTCAGATCCTTCCAACTATTTCTTTACACGAGCTTTGATTGCAATGATACAACTGAAATAATTCAGCAACATGAATTGATAAGTAACTTACATGCTATGTTACACATCTAATAAGATTGCTTTATTAAAGAATGCCTAAACTTCTTAGGTTATTCAAAAATGTTTCTCCAATGAGGGAGCCATCCTTAACAAATACAGCAGGATATCCTATTGGAGCTTCTACCCATTCTTCACTTCCTTCTTTGGTGAATACTTTGCCTGTCCAGATATGGACCCAATTGCTACTCTCCCCCAATGGAAAATAAGCTTTTACTTTTTTCTTTCCTTTGTCGAGGACAGGCACCACTAGGAATTCTGAACCAACCAAAAACTGCTGATAACTCAAATGATGCACGCGTTCATCATTTGGATAATGGAGAAATAGATGGCGGCATACAGGCAATCCTTTCTGTGCAGCTTCCTGTTTAGAAAATAACATGGAAAGGAACGTTTTGAATGCCTAATGGTTAGTATATAGTAATTAGTCTATAGAGATAGATTTTGTGATCACCTTCACCAGTTGAATTCGGTAAAATTTCCATGCTTTGTATACTTTTGCAGAACGTGCAAAGTGTGACATTGTTTTCTGGTTTGAGTAAAACTGGCTATTGCATGATGGTTTGTTTCCCTGCATACAGTTCAAGAATCAGTACCTTACTGCTATATATGCAAACTTTATATGACGAAATTTATTGAATGAAAAAAGGTTACCTATTTGGACATATGATTATATCCCTATTAATTAAGATAGTACTAGTATTTCTTGAATTAACTCTTCTTTTTTTCTTTCATAAATTGAAGATTAAGCATGTAACAGAAATTTTGTATGTTACTTAAGTACATCAGCTAAGTTGCTTCACTCCACATGGACAATACCACAATATTTTTTTTCTTCGTAATTTTTAAAGACCAGAGAGAAAAAGAAGAAAAGTTGGAAAATATTTGCGGTAGAATAACCATTTTTAATTTTAAGGGTGAAGTTCTCTTAAGTGATGTAATACACTATAATGTCAAAGAATAAAATCTTCCATTCAGTAACCAAATTCTTGTTGTAATAAATGTATTCTTATGTACTTCTACAATGATGATAAAGATAGAAGACGAAAATATAATCATGATGAAAGGGGTATGCCATAATGCAAGTATTCTACTTACTTCATGGGTACGGAAGACTATGGTAAAAGAATTTAGCTCCATCCACCGCAAAAGCAATTCTTCACTTCTATTATATTTAACTATAGGCAAGTTTACTGTACAATATCCTCCAATGTCACTGTGATTGAAGGAGTAGCCAGAAATTCCACTGCTCAGTAGGCCAACAACAGAACTCTTTATTCCATCATTTGTTTGCCAACTGACCATTTGGTCTCCTTCCCAAAATAGCACCCCCCACTTGGGGCTATCTCTAAAACCAGCCCTCATGAAGAAAACCAAACCGTCTTCTTGATCTTTCTTCACTTTGTCCAAGGAGTTACTTTTCCATTCTTCCACAAGCTCTCTATTAATTTTGGCCCATAGTTCCGGGTATCTGTTATGAGCAGAAATAGGATCTTCACCTGAAATGGAGGGCGCATCTTCTTAGTAATAATCACATGCTCATACATTTGGTCTAGTTTTGATCTCTAGTTTTTTATCCTTTGATTAGGAGGTTGGATGATGAGAAATGTTCAGAAAATTTTCATGGAAGAATGATTTGGCAGAAGATAAAAGACATGCTTTGTAGCAAATGGCACGAACTAGCTTACTACTTTAAACCAATTCTGTGTTTTACAATCTATTGCCATTGGAAAGACATTGTGAAGCAGGTCAGAATTTTACACCGAGTAAAAGTGTTAGGAGAAACAAAGATATGTGAATGCAAACCTGAATATAGAACAGCATCAACTGGAAGGCTCTCACCAAAATCAGCCATCCATCCTCTAACTCCATCATCCACCATGTCTCCAAGAATCTGCTTGAACCAAGTTGCCGTTTTTGGGTGCGTGAGATCTAGCATTCCCACATCAAAGGCCGTGTTTGGAACCATGTATGAATTTCCATTGCTGTCTTTTACCAATATGTCCAACAGTTTTGCTTCCTCAAAGAGGTTTCTCCTTTTGTTTTGTTTCTTATCAACCTATAGGATCAGACAAAAGAAAAAACAGGTTTATAGTCGTGACATTATCTCAATTTCCTAAACAAGCTACATGTCTTATATAACCAATGGCACTTAGCAAAATGAAATTATGATAGCAATGCAAGAGACCAATCATGAATTAATTTCACTAACAATAAAATGCAGTTCATTGAAGAAAACGAGTTAGTGATTACAATATTTATACTTGAAGTGATTCAAGGGAAGGATTACCGGAGCTAGACAGGGATTGCAATATGTCATAACTTTTATATTCTGAGAGCTAAGATCATCAATAAGTTCCTTCCATCCCCAATATCTTTGTGAATCCACTTCCCAATTCCACCAGAGCTGTGAACCAATCAATGTTTCTCTCTGTCCTACCCAATCCTGCGCAGTTGACACAAGTAACAATGTAAATTAAAAAATATCAAAGAATTGTAATAGTTTCAGGTTTGTGAGTGTGTGCACAAGCCAATTTGTTCATAACAAGTTGCAGAAACCAAATTGTTTAACATCAGTCAAACAAAATACTCCACTTCAATGCTCGGTTTAAATCAAGAAATAAAGATTGTCTATAGAAGCACACTCAATTGTGAATTACATGTTTGTTGAAAGTGCAGAGATCCAGAGAGTATATATGACCTTGAAGTACTTTTGTTTTTCCTATCTTTTAAGTGTTGGTTGAGGGACTACCTGCAACCAAAATGCCGAGATAGGAACATCATAAGTCCTTAGTTCATCCCATACATGACGTACAGCCTCCGTGCCACCTTGCATTCCAACTATAGCACCAGATATAATCCACTCTGGAAGCTCAGGTAGTCTTCCAATGGTTTCTGTAAAACGTTCAATCAGTTCACAAGGTGAGTTTCCATGCAATATCCGCCCTTCAACTGAGTTTCCATGTATCTGCAAGCTCCAGTGTACAAAAATTTGGAACTATAAGCTTTAATTATATATATGTATACACATTTAAATCATGACTTCTTAACATTATAATAGTTCAGAATGTTCTAAATTGTTGAAGTCCGATGAATAATTTATACTTTATTTCTTAAAACACAATTACCGTCATAGCTAACTTTCCAGGCTGTATTATTAGATTCATCGTCATCATATATCAATTTACTTAGATATTGTAAAATTGACCACACATTCTTCATGTGATACAAATATTTACAAGAATACTGTGCTAATTTTACTTTATTTTCTTAAAGATCATTGCATCCTACATGCAGCGCTCAACATTTTCAAATATTCACTGCACAATTTCAGAATTTCTTGCAATAAGTAATCTATTTTTGAACAGTCTATTTTATGTCTCACAATTTCTGTAACAATACCTGTATCTGTACTCTGTCAATTCTAGTAAGATCAAAGACAGTATAATCATATCCTTCAAGGCAGACAGACCTCATTTTTGATGTTATGTAAAATGGAGAAGGAGCATAAGTTGTACTCCAATCACCTCCTGCCCTGCCAATACCAACAATACATCATCATTCACTGTGTTTTCAACAATATATATATATATATATATATATATATATATATATATATATATATATATATATATATATATATATATATATATTATGATTTAGTATGTTGAATTAGGCATACGAAGCTGTATATTACACTACCTGTAACTAATCAAGTTAGCAGCCAAGGTAATAGGTTGATCTCCTCTGCCAATACCTTGTTCTTGAACAAATATGGGCACCCTTTTGCCTTTGAAGTTCATGTGAGAAAACTGCTCCCCAAATCCATAAAACCTCTCATTCTCATCACTTGCATATGTCAACCAAATTCTATTGAACTCTTCTGGTTTTGGGATATCCAAGTCTCCTATCTCTTCCTCTACTGAAGAGACTAGCACAAACCCTCTTGGCCTTGAAAGGTACCAATACCAACCCAGTCTCTTTTTCCTATTACTCAGCCTCCTCTTGAATCCCTGGTACACTCCTGAAACTGTTTTGGGGACTTGGTTGCGGGAGATGAAGTTAGGTTTCTCAATCTTCACTTGAAACGAGACCTCATGGTTGGTTTTCTGATTGAACAAAACCCAATACCTTGCATATACAGAGGGTCCTTTTGCCTCAAATTGCATAGTTGCTTGAATGCCATACTTTTGAAACCTTTTACTCTTCTTACTCATATTGAAAAGCCTTCCTGTGATCATCAAAGTAGGAAGCTGAATCTCCTGTGATTCAGTTTTCTTTTCCAACCCTTGATACACAGAAGGAGAAACTGCCACTTCACATTTCAAATGATGATCAAATTGACTATTCATCACCCCAATATC